TTTCTCCCGATTTCCACCGATTTCTACAAAAAACTTCGCATGTTTTAGGTAAAAATCCCCCGATTTTGTCTGTGTCCTCCCGTTTTTTCCTCCTACCTCCCGATTTTTAAAGATGTCATTTTAAAAGCAAAAAAGGCTCCAAAACGTAATAAAATATGTAGTTTGGATGTTCATTTATGTCTGTGGATTATATTTTATACCACAAACACTTATAAATACCTGAAATTTGCAATAAAAGTGCCCAAAAATTGTTGTTTCGAAATTCCCCATTTTTCCTGTATCGCGCTAGTCACGTGACCCGTACGCGTAGCAGGCAATGCCTAGTATTACAGATATTACAGTACATTTTTCAACATGTTCAATATGGCAAACATCAGCGATTCTGACTCCCGGGTTCTGGGAAATTGCTATATATAAATCGGCGAGAGGGTGTTATTTAAGGAGGACAATTTAAGGAGGGGAAATATGTCCAAGTATGCCAGTAAAAGAGCAGATATGGACTTTAGACAAGTACTATGACGGAGAATCAACTAAAAAAATGTGCGTTCTGGAATGAAGACCCGTTGCCATTGACTGAGAATCCCAGCGATCCTATAATCTTATCCCGTTCCAGGACTATAGTCCTGTACGGAGCCCATACATTTGCCTGTACGATTACAACTTGGGAGAATTATCTACGCCCCTTCCACTTAAGAAACCTACCTCAATGCATTCTAGAACTCAAAATGTAACTTCTAATATATTGGAACCGCCGATTGTCTGGGTTAGTTGGCAGAACGAGGTCTTTTTGTTTCTTATGGCTCTTTTGGTCGAAGTTCGATTAAGATGGCGGTTATAACGGAATTTCCCGAACTCTTCCGTAATAGCACGAACTTGGTTTTTCGTTACTTCACTTCCATGTAAAATGGATTTGTTTCCGGTAAGAAACATTGTTTAACCATTCGGTATACAGTTAAGAGCATAGGATGTCGACATGGCAGTAAATATTGAAAATATTGTCCGAAATTTTCGAAATTCCCTCTTACCCGAAACAAATCCATTTTACACGGAAGTGACGTAACGAAAAACCAAGTTCGTGCTATTACGGAAGAGTTCGGAAAATTCCGTTATAACCGCCATCTTAATCGAACTTCGACCAAAAGAGCCATAAGAAACAAAAAGACCTCGTTCTGCCAACTAACCCAGACAATCGGCGGTTCCAATATATTAGAAGTTACATTTTGAGTTGTAGAATGCATTGAGGTAGGTTTCTTAAGTGGAAGGGGCGTAGATAATTCTCCCAAGTTGTAATCGTACAGGCAAATGTATTGGCTCCGTACAGGACTATAGTCCGGGAACAGGATAACTATAATCCTACTCAGTTTGAATTTAGACGCGGAAAACAGGTTATGAAAACGGGCTCTCTGCAAAGTTATCAAATTTAGAAAATATGGATCTTGTTTTTGAGTGGCTTAACAAGCATTCGGATACAAGACTTGGCGCTATCTCTTGTCAAATACACGCAGACTTGCAGTAAATTGGCCATTGCAAATTGCAAAATCAGATCGTCAAATTAATCGCTTCGTTTTTAAACGTATGCTTCATATCTTCATCCAAAACTTTAGGATTCGATAGAGATAAGTTAAAACTTGTACAGGAAGAAATGGGAGATCCTACCTTAATTTAGAATCGCTGATTTCTCTGGACAAATTCCGAGAAGAAATTGTTCAACATCGCGATCAGCTCAGACTAAACTTACATGTCGTGCATGTCACTCTGAACTCACGTGATAAAATACGGCATTTTGATTGGTTACTACTCGTGTTGTCATGACGCGAAAAACAATAGTAAACACTGAATATGTTAATGAACTGTCATATATGGAGCAATTGTCTTTCTGATTGGTTAACTTTACACGCCTCCTAAATGAATATAGTAGTCGTAGTAAATGATGAATCCGAGTACTCATCGATCGTCTCCAGTATCTTACATAAAAGTCAATTAACTCCAGCGACATCTAATCATGAAAAACAAAGTTAATCTAATATAAATGTCCAATCAACAACAAGGAAATTAGCGCATGCGCAACAATTTTAATCAGTAAGAGCGAATCCATCCTTTATTACGATCCCAGCGCATGCGTATTACGTAGATAATCTCCTGAGTGGAGGTGATATCTGCGCAAGTATGTCCGTGAAACGGGGTAAGAATAATTTTGTCTATTTATGCACGATTGCGTAAGCCTACCAAGATTGAGCATGTATAGATCTATACATTAAGAGAAATCATGTTAGATAAGTTTGAATGATTTTACCATTGAAGTTTGTCAAAGATTGAGATTTATCAGTCACATTTACGGTAAGCTTTTTGGTTTTTCCATCCTGGACCAAGGAGGATTGGCTCCCAGGATGCAACATCGATACCGATACTCCCTATGTCGTGACTACAAAATTCGAATTCAAACTGCATTTTCGTTTGAAAATAAGACCAAGATTAACGATACAAATGTTGAAGTGAATAAAATAGCGGCTGTTTGAATTCGAATTTTGCAATCATGACATCAAGAATATCGACAGAGTATCGATGTTGCATTCTGGGAGCCAATCCTCCTCCTCTCCTGTTTTGACAGAAGATCTCCTGTTTTTTACTTAGTATCTTTACCAAGAGAAACTTCCTGTTTTATAAAGAAGTCTCCTGTTTTCTCCTGTTTTTAAAGAAAATATCCTGTTTTCTCTTGTTTTTAAGGAAAATATCCTGTTTTCTCCTGTTTTAAAAGGAAATACCCTGTTTTCTCCTGTTTTTAAAGATAACCTGTTTTCCCATGCTTTTAAAATAAATTGTTTTCTCCTGTTTTTAAAGAAAATCTCCTGTTTAGACTGAAAATCTCCTGTTTTTTAGACGGTAACTTGTTTTCTAAAAGAAACCTCCTGTTTTCTCCTGTTTTTTAAAAGAAGTCTCCTGTTTTCTCCTGTTTTTTTCAGTAAAAGTCTCCTGTTTTTCTCCTGTTTTTTGCAAAATATCTCCCGGATTCTCCTGTTTTTTTAAAAAAAAACTCCTGTTTTTTTCTCTGAGAGGTTGGCAGGTATGGTATAAGTACATCTTGAAAAGTTAACTTGTCTAATGTTTTTCTTTGTGTGGGGCCCGAAAAAACTTTGAGGCCAAAATCTGCTTCTGACCATATAAACGGGGCGATTTAGAAATAAACTGACCTTACTGGGCATTGTTTTCTAATTTTGGGCCTAGTTTTTAAGAAATGTTACCGTATGTAAGCGTTATGATAATTTTTTCATCCTACCACCCCTCCCTCCATTAAGTACAGTATGCCTTATTTTAATGATATCAAGTTTTTCTTCAAATTCTGTAAAACAAGTAAAATATTGTTTTCATAATACATGTAATCCATGTACATGTACTCATGTAAATGTTCTGGAAAATTGTCAATAGATGGCATACTATGAAAGGAATTTGGTCGAATACACGTCAATCAGTTACCCTGCGCACAGAGTCTAGTTAAAAACTACTACTGAAGACGATGTTCTCTTCTAAGAAGCGAAGTCGAACGAATGCAAAGGGTATCAATCAGCTTAATAAAGAGCAATACACCTTAAAATGCATTTATTTTATGAGGCGTTTCTTACTTAGTGCGTTCATGAGAGAAAATGCTTGATTAAGTTATGGATAAACTTTGAGTACTGGGTTTTATGAGAAATAATAGCCAAGGGCCTTGGGTGTTTTGAGAAGAAAGTGGGTATTAGTTCAGCTTCAGTGCACCGCATTTTTCAGGCCAGGCACAGTTTAAAATTTGATTTCTTTTGTGTTTAATTTTCAGCTATTTGATGACTGAATAGAGTGTAATTAGTTCAGCTTTAGAGCACTGCACAATTTATAAAGAATGTCCCCTTCTTTGTTACAACTGTATATTCTTCAAAATAAACTACAATCCATTCTATTTTGTTCCTACCTAAGTTGAGTTTAATTATAAAGATGTACCAAAATAACCTAAAGCTAAGCTGTAAGCAGAATACCTCTTCAGATTAGACTAAACTTGGCCCAGGAAGATCATTAGGAAAACGTCTGTCTTATATCAACTTTATAGTGCTTCAATTCTCAAGTGAATAAAATTAATGCACTACGAGTGGTCCAAAAATGGATAACTGATACGGTACATGTGATTTATTTACATCCTAGTAGTTTAAATTCATTTTTAAAAAGATATTTACATACAGAGTGACAACAAAAAATGCACCCAGTAATCGTATTTTGGGTCACCCTGTATGTCAATCAGTTATTCTCGAATGATGCCCCTTACGGTATATGAATATTTTTTATCTTGGAATTAAATTGATTTAAAACTGTTTTCAACGAATTAACACTATAGTTGATGCAAGAGAACTTAAAATTGCGGCATCCGTGCCTTCTAACGTCTATCTGTCTATTGGAGGTTATCCTCAGGCCAAGTAAGACACGAATGGAAACAGAGTAAATGTTGAATTATTTAGAGACTGGTTCTGCTTTGCTAACATATTTGATATGAGGTTTTCACATCAGGAATATCACCCTCGAAGATGGATAATGAATATTGCTTTGCCTGGTAAATCATAATATAAGAAATACATTCGGGAACTGAGTTTGGTGACCCGGTTGATAATTGTCACCGCGTGGCAGATCATTTCCCCAGGGGCTAAACGTATTTAAATATGATATATTCATGAGACTAATTATGAATAATTTGATATTAGCAGGAATTTGTAACAGCGTTGCTAACATTGCAATTGTGCACCGGATTGTATTTTGTTGCAGATTTCTATTCAATTACAGAATTATAGAAACGCGGTCATTGCGTTTTATTAATCTCTCGATGTTATCAATGATCAAGACACATAGATAATAGATATACAAAGCAACAACGAACGCTAGCATAATATACCGAATACCTATGTATACAATGATATGATCAGCAGCAACTATTATCGAGTTGACGACAAGGACATAAGTCTCTCTTGATGCCTCATACAGATGCGGAAATCTATAAACAATCGTTTTCTGTCAAATGGGAGCTTAGGGGTCTAAAGCACAGTTAGCTTAGCGCTCATTGAATACAATTGAGTTATGACTTCGATTATATTAGACATGTGGTGTAATTACTCATATTTGATTAAGAGCAACTGAGAGTTCGAATGACAATTGTATAGCGATCAGAAGCAGAAGTTAAGGTCCAGAAAACGAGTATCAAGTCGACATTCTTAAACAACGATAAATGAAAGACAAAGCAAGAACATTTTAGGTCTTCACAATTAATAACAACATGTCTTCTAGGAATGATACAGTCGATGAACTCAGTACAAAATATATCAAATCTCTTCGGGATCAATGTATGAAGAAAGGAATACAAGGCATCAAGGGTCTTGGGACAATCTTCCGGAGTATGGACAACGACTACACCAGGCGTCTAAACTTAGATGAATTCAAGCGAGGTATGCGTGTTTACGGACTGGACATTGATGATGAAAGCTTGACAAGAATGTTCAATAAGTTTGATAGGGATGGTAACTCTGTGGTTGATTTTGAGGAATTCCTTGCCCAGTTGAGACCCCCTATGGCGCAGTGCAGGGTGGACGTTGTCAACCAAGCTTTTGATAAGCTCGATGTCACAAAGGATGGCCTTCTCATGGTGGACGATCTAACAGGTACAGGTTATGTACATTTATTAAAAACACTCGTGATGCGGGAATAACATCAATGTTATTGTACCCACTTTCAAATCGTATTCTAGGCCATTGGGATCAAAATCCTTATCCACCAAGTTAAAAACCCCAGATATATTATACTTAATAATTATTATTTAAGGTTATATTTCATGAAAACTATGTCTGCAAAGTGGATCTACATGTAAGTCGAAATATCTTCTGATGATTCACATAATAGGCGTTTCTCGATCAGGTTTAAAAATATTTATACACATTTTATTGTCACCTACGTACAGTCGTAAAACAATGTTCAAGTATATCCTGAATCTCCATCGGTTGATCACACTATCCTCTGACTATAACAAATGATTCAACACGTCTCGTGCTCGCACAACCCCAACGATGCAACTGGTTTGAGTCCTTTTATGGTAATTTGAATATGGAATTAATATTTAGCTCCTTATATGCCTTAAACGCACGTGGTTCTCTAGCTGTTCATATTCTCATCGGCTTGTAGTTTAAAGAGTACATGTGGATCCGTATTTCAAGCTCTCGGAAAGGGTATTCATTGAGAGTATGAAAACAATACTTGAAATGCTCACACACCCATCCTTTGACCCTGGTCCAAGGGGATTTCAATATCCAACTTGAATTGAAAGAGCAATGAAGCCATTTGATGATGGATGCCTCACACCATATGCAATTGATGTTGGCAATAAGATATGAGCGAAGTGATGACAGTGCATCTTTGGAAGGGATAACAAATCTCATAAAAATCAATTATAGTAGAGTAGTAGAAAAACGAATAATAAATATGTTAGGTAAATGTTAAAACGGAAGTTCAATAAAACTGTCAGAATCATTTGTGAAGACATTTCTATGCATATTCTAATCTTCCACTTATCACATTCTCACTCATGTCTCGCTAAATTCAAATCCCATGTCAGTTTCAATGGCAGATTTACACGCTTGTAATTTTCTCGATTTACTCTTTTCTTCATCTTAGATTTGCTAGAGCTGTTCTTCAGATTTCGATTTCCCGTCTTTCACATGGGCTCCCATAGAACTATAGATTTAGTAAATATAAGCATAAATCCCTCGACAATAATTGCTTTCATTCTTTTATTGAATCAATGAAAAGTCAAGGGAAACAGTACAATGACATAATAAGGGTTAGAGTATAGATAATAGTTATTCAAACGTTTGCGATGACATATTAAGTCCCTGTTGTCAAACAGCGAGATCGATGTTTAACATCACCTTTAATCAGAACCCTATTATTCTCATGAATGGTTCTGAAGGGTTCACTATATCTCTATACTGTATACATATATATGGCATTGTTCTTTTAACACACGGTATCGATCTGACAATATTGCAGGCCAAACCTTCCTTTTTGTAAGTGCCCCTTAGCGCTAAGAGGACATTGTTGATTCCATAGCCTCCGGGTGCTCTCCGCAAAAAGTGCAGGCGCAGATAGAGCACTAGATGTTCAGAGACTGATCGATAAATCAAAATATTAGCAGTATTATCCAGTTTTACGCCAAGCTTAAGTTCAAATGATCATGACAAATTGTTCCTGAGCTAAAATATGTTCCGGGTGGCTACGGGGCCTGAGTGTCCAGTTAATCCTTCTTAGTGTCAAAATCCATTAAAACCAAAATCTTATTAAAAGTAACGTGTATGGATCAACCAAATGATAATTGATTAGTCACATCAACAATCAGTCCATCATTTGTTAACAGATCACGTAGATATGATAGACCTTTAGGATCATGACTAATAACAGACGGCCTCCCTAAACATTAAACAAACTACCTAAAGATCATAGAATCGCCCGCCTCCCTGACAGATATTTATGTCAGATGCGTTCCAAGTAGGATAGAAACGCATCAACCATTACGAAAGCAAACACAATTGCCGTAACAAGAACATTTGAAAGTAAAAATGTCAAAAAATGAAAACCGACGAAACAAATAATATAAGCATTTTAATCTCGTTTGATCCGATTACGCCAGTTTCCAGATCAATTTATCATTCTCCTCGTTCCTGACTGCCATTTATTTACCAACTTGTTTAACGCATCAAGCATATTCTATAGCTAGAGTGTCAGTTACTATAATGTTGACACTGAACATCGACCATTGGTGCAATGGTATTGATTGAAAATAAGGAATATGAGGCTTAATTATTAGATAATGGTTCATTTTCCATTTTTCATAACATAATACTCGTAGAATGATGAATGAACTACAGGGTGACCGGAAAAAGGAGACCATTGAAGTAGGCAATATCTCCTAAACCAGACAAGTGCCATCAACGAGAATTTGCACACATCAGAACACATTTCTTTGAAAATTTGTTCCTGAAAGCATCAATATAAGGAACTGCGATCATTGATATTACATGCTCCAAATGGCCGCAAAAGGCAGAGCTTGATTCATTCGGCAAAATTGTCAATTACCCTTACCACATTCAACCAATTATGGCATTACATTTAGCATTGATTGCCTTCTTTTGAGCAGCACTTGTTTTGGCAGTGTTTTGGTACACATTGTCTTTCAAATAGCCCTACATAAAGAAATCAAGTGGATTCAAGTTGGGGGAATATGGAGATGAAAATCTGACCTTTTGCTCAATTGCAATTGCGGCCATTTGGAGGATGTGATGTAAATGATCACAATTATATTGAAACTTTTAGGAACCATGGAACTGTTCTGACGTGTGCAAAATTTCATCGATGTCACTTTTTAGGAGATATTCCCTACTGTACTTCAATGGTCTCCTTTTATTCCGGTCACCCTGTATTTTCCCACTCCTGCGTACATTGCGGATTACTATTTTGAGGGAAAGACAAACGCAAAATAACAAATTAGGGAAAGTGAAATACCTTGCAGAAATTCCCTTTATTACGTTTTTCTCTTCTCCAATGTTATATATACTCGTTTCCCAGTTTGATTTTCTATTTCAATGAAAACATCATACCTTGGAAATCCGGTACCTTTCACATTTTAATTTTTTTGACAGGAAGAAGATGTTGGAGGATACACAATATTAGACAAATGGTATATACAAAGTATTTCATTGCATGGACAACATTTATCGAACATCGCCCTTTTAAGAGCTGATGTATGAACATAATTTTTATGTACTTTGAAAAATATCAACGCAATCGATGCTTATGTGCTGGTAATCAGGGCTTGTATCGCCCCAAACAAAACAAAACTTTGATTTTTGACCAAAAATCGTCATTTAAGCTGTTTTTGAGATATAATAAGCAATATTGTTTAGTATACATCGCATGATTATCATAACCAGTTGTGATGACATCAAAATAGCACACAGTAAATGTCATTGGTATCAACACACACGACGCAGGCTTTAGGAGAACAACTGATTTTGAAAATACCAATTATAGTTTGGCTTTGCTCATAAATACTTTATTTGTACAGTAAGTACAATATTCGGTTTTTTATATTATATTATTTCATTATATTTTTGTATTGATAGACTTTTGCTCTCCACAACAGTTTGCCTAGTGTGTTCCTTAAAACAAGAGTAGGGAGGCAAAATTGCACTAATATAGGAATCAGTGCTCGGGGATCGATTTTGCGAAGGAAATGGGAACCGCGTTTAAATCCCTTTCCCCATCAATAAACGTGAGCTAACATCAGCATTTCCGTAGCCATTTACTTAATTCGACCAGGCGTTCATGTCAACTCGCAACATTATAACTGTCATCGTCCAACTTAGACTATGAAAGAATCATTACTCCTAAAGCATCTTGATCCACAAGGTTTCACTTGCTCTTACCTGTAAACCATGTGGAAAGCGACAATGAGATACTTAATCCATACGTTTGATCATTCTTGGTTATGTTTTGCGGAAATGTTCTCTCTGAGTTGTGATAAGACAAGGAACATTGAAGAGCCAAACTAAAGAAAATGTTCCCAATGATAAGAAAGCAAATGCAATTAGTTTCTATGAGTATGAGCCTTACTCACTTCGAGAGCCATGTTAGATTTTGAAACTTATGGCTCTCAAACGGAGAAGTGAACAGCTGATCAATAGTGACCTTTGAAATTGAATTAAGTCGATCCGCGGCTTACTTTTGGTCTCTAACTGTGTCTTACATCAGTATCATCAATCCGTGTAAGTATTGGAGCGCTGGAGTACTTCTTTTTCGATCAAGACATGTAAATTGTTCATCGAGTTAAAGTTTTACAGACCTATTTCCAATATGGCGGTTTGCTAGGTGCGAGATACGCAACGAACGAAATGAATTTTGAGAATTAGTTAGGTTCGGACAACCTCCGGAGATTTACGAAAATGTCCGAGCAGAAACCGCCATATTGGAATTTGGCAGTAAAACGATTCACTCGACTAACGAATTACAAGTCTTGATCGAAAAAGAAGTACTCCAGCGCTCCAATACTTACACGGATTGATGATACTGATGTAAGACACAGTTAGAGACCAAAAGTAAGCCGCGGATCGACTTAATTCGATTTCAAAGGTCACGATCGTTGAGCTGTCCAAATGCTCCGTGGGAAAGCTATTATATCAAAATCCAAATAGCTTTCGCAGGAAGTAATATGAGCCCAAGTATCTCCTTGATGGATACAGGCCATGAGTTTATCTAAATAGTAAAAAAGTCGACAGTCTTATCTTTTACACTCCTCTCGAAAATTTTGGAAACATCAACTTCATTTGGCTCAAACTCTGTCTACGATTACGATTAAAATCATCACATTCATGAATTTCTGACCTGACGTTTTTGAGGAACAATTCAAACACATACAACGTTAATAGTCTATCAATTTGGGATTTAAGATTGCCATACTTTTATAAGGGAGTGTAGAAATCCATTCAAAATCATGAAAAACTTCGTATGTATAAGAGGGCAGACTAATCACGATTGGATGGACATTCTGGTTCTGATAAGTGTCTGTTAAGTTCGGTTTCTTTCGCAGATGTTTCAATTATGTCTCTGGAAAGCCCCCCTATACGATGTTAATTCAGATAAATGAACACTTTGTTACCATCGCTGTTCGGAATCAAGCCTAACGTAACACGTTCATTTATCAAATTAATAATCAAATAATTAAATTTTCGACGAAACTGAAACATGTTCGCACTTTTATTCAGCAATTATCAATTTATAGCAACAATTTCTTACTGATGTAATGTAACAGGCTTTTCCCAAAAGGGAGACTGGAGTGCATGTTATTGCAAAGGAGCCTCTGACTTCTCAATAATTAATACGTTGTCTTGTGCACTCATTTTAATATACCGAGGGTCAAAAGATTTTATCATACAAAGGTACATTTGTATTTAGGTATCCTCATGTAATTATAAAAATTTTTGAGTCGTACCTTGTATTCAGTATTTCATCTTTGTCAAGATTCAGAATTACTCAAAAACTTTTGGAAAAATGAGATTGCCTTTTGCAAGAGCTTCATTGACGGCTACTACAAGCCGATCGGTTATGTACCCATGGTCCAAGGTTAAGGGTGGTCAATGAGGGATTGAACACTTGAATACGTCTCCATAAATATTCACTATCCCGAAGTACGTTCAATCTTGAAACTCTTGTTCATAAGAGGCATTTGTTCAGTCCTTGTATTATCAATCACAACGTAACAAAAACGAACATTCCAATCATGGGCGAATGCAACCTGCTATTAATTCCTTTCGTTTTATGTTGTTCGTTTGAAATAGAAAGATGTGATGGTCCATTTCACTGCTTTACATGAAATAAAAGACAAATTGCAATTGTTATAGTTATTATCAGAAAAAGCTTGCATTTGCAATAGGTTGTAATTTACAAGAGACAATTACTATATTTGTTCTGGTATCTATAGACAATAATTATGGCATTCAGGAAAAATACTACTTCTATGCCATGAATCATCTGGTATCGACATTTCACCCCTTGGACATTTCACCCCTAGACTGTTCATCCCTTAGACATTTCACCCCTTGGACATTTCACCCCTAGACTGTTCATCCCTTAGACATTTCACCCCTTGGACGTTTCACCCCTAGACTGTTCATCCCTTAGACATTTCACCCCTTGGACATTTCACCCCTAGACTGTTCATCCCTTAGACATTTCACCCCTTGGACGTTTCACCCCTAGACTGTTCATCCCTTAGACATTTCACCCCTAGACTGTTCATCCCTTAGACATTTCATCCCATGGACGTTTCACCCCTAGACTGTTCATCCCTTAGACATTTCACCCCTTGGACGTTTCACCCCTAGACTGTTCATCCCTTAGACATTTCACCCCTTGGACGTTTCAACCCTAGACTGTTCATCCCTTAGACATTTCACCCCTTGGACGTTTCACCCCTAGACTGTTCATCCCTTAGACATTTCACCCCTTGGACGTTTCACCCCTAGACTGTTCATCCCTTAGACATTTCACCCCTTGGACGTTTCACCCCTAGACTGTTCATCCCTTAGACATTTCACCCCTTGGACGTTTCACCCCTAGACTGTTCATCCCTTAGACATTTCACCCCTTGGACGTTTCACCCCTAGACTGTTCATCCCTTAGACATTTCATCCCATGGACGTTTCACCCCTAGACTGTTCATCCCTTAGACATTTCACCCCTTGGACGTTTCACCCCTAGACTGTTCATCCCTTAGACATTTCACCCCTTGGACGTTTCACCCCTAGACTGTTCATCCCTTAGACATTTCACCCTATGGAAGTTTCACCCCTTAGACTTTTCACCCCCTGGGCATTTTACCCCTAGGGTCACCCCTCGTGTGGCAGTCCTGGAGGTAAGTGCACTGTGATGTTGGAACAAAATCGAGGCTTTTATTATCCTGAGACCATACAATATTACATGTTTCCTATTTCGTGACAAGTACTTCGGTATTCATGGTATATATTTAATAGTTACCGCATTCACGAATATTAGGTTATCATTGATATGTTGTGTATACTCTTTATTAATAATGCATCAGTTACTATGGTAATACATCAACAGTTTTCAAGGATGATGCGATATTCTATCGTTGTATTGTTTCCATAACAACGGGGATATGGTATGGCCATGCTTGTTATTGTGTTATTTATTACATCCCCTTTGCTTCAAGTATCAATGAATTTCCGTTCTATGCTCTCAACATTTTAAGCATTCTCAAATACTTAATTGATATCTGTCTATTCTACTAGCAAAGCTCATTTAGAGGAAGCATATACTCTAATCCATACTTCCCTACAGTGTATCTTATTCGATATAAGAATTGAATGACAAGACACTTTCCGGATGGGCTGTTTGAAACATTTAATTTTTTGTAATTTTCACGGATCTTCAAAGTGGGAGGAATAAAGGCAATCTTCAAGACCCTCAAGATGACACGACTGCCATAAATAATAAATCCAAAGTGCGTTTGCTGTAATAACGACCATAAGCCTTTTCTTTTAATTCTAGACACGCCACATTGATTAAGGAGATATTGTTATGAGAGGACAATGTAACTTATTCTCTCGGAGACAGAGACTTCCTCTGTCCAAGTCTCTATTAGGATCTCTGTAGCGTTGCGTTAACTTAAGAATATGAGCTACACTCAATCATTTCCAAAGCCCACTCTGAAAGTAACACGGACATTAACGTCAACAAGGAGATTATAATTTTCTTCAAAATAGCTATGCCTTTGTCTAACTTATCGAAATAAATGGTAACATAAAAATAGTCCTTTTCCAAGTCAAGATGCGCCAATCTGTCAAGAGATGATTTATTCATTCTTTGTACCTAAGTTTACATACTCAATTTTAATTGGTCGGAGAGCGGTCTCGGTTTACTGTCGGTAAACAATTATAGCAGTCTACCTCTGTATACGTAATAACTGTATACCATACGCTTACAAGTACTATACGAGGGGTGATCAATAAGTAATGGACGCTTTTTTACACAGATGCTATTTATAGACCAATCCCTTCGATTTTCCTACCAGCGATACACCATTCAATTATCTATCAACTCTGAAGATTTGAAGACAAAATATATGATACATGTTGATATATCATTATTTCCGTGAAGGAGGTACAGGTACCCCGGGACCGACATTTACGGCACATATTCTGAAGCTATTTTAGCGTGTTTAACATGCAATGCAGTTGAATGCAGGCTGAACAAAACAAACCATTATGGTCATGAATTACCCCATTTGTTATGCCATAGTTGATTTTGAACATTTTATCATCATTGTGTGGTATTCATGCCACATTCATTCCACAAGGCCCTCTAAATAGGTTCCATCAAGTGCTACAAGTACACAATTCCTCATCCTCTTAACTCAAGATTGTGAGACAACGCTGAATCCGTTCTCTGACATGGTAGCAAGATGCAGTTGCACAGGTTGTTTTATTTCATCAATGTCAATAAACCTGCGTCCTTTCTCTATAGAAATAAGTCGTATAGAATTGAACAAGTCACATGTGAGCAGATCTGGACAATATGGTGCATCTTGGCCAAGGGCTCAATTTTGAGGTCCAGGGATATTGTTTTCTGAACATTTTGAGATCTGTGGGCAGGTGCATTGTCCATATGGAGTAGGGTGTTCCCTTCTCTTACCACCCCTTTCTTCCACAATGCTTTCTCAAATTGACCTGCAAACCCCTTCCATACAACACTCTGACATCACAATACTCTCTGTTTATGTGTTACCAGTCAGCAAAAAATTTCAAACAAAACAACACTTGTTGCATATAAAAAGTTCAAATCTAACTGAAATAAACCAAACTGGCTAAAAACTGAATATGTGACGTAAATGTCGGTCCCGGGGTACCTGTACCTCCTTCACGGAAATAAGGATATATCAACATGTATTATATATTTTGTCTTCAAATTTTCAGAATTGATAGATAATTGAACGATGTATCACTGGTAGGAAAATCAAAGGGATTGGTCTATAAAAAGTATCTGTGTAAAAAAGCGTCCATTACTTATTGATCACCCCTCGTATACAGTGAGTCGCCAATGACTCCTAAGGGGAAACACTATTGAACGAACTAATGAACCAATCTATAGTTGCAACTATACTGAATGTGATGTAGTGAAACAAAAGACAAATAAATACAAGAAAACAGCTGGGCCAAATTCAACGCCCATGTGGGAATCGAACATGAGACCTTTCATTCGCTTGTCACTATTTCTCCCACTGGACGAAGGGCTGTGAACGGTTGCGCTGTATTTGCATTCGGTTGAAATATTCAGTTGAAATATGCCAACTTCTTTTGGAATTTATATGGCATCAGCAAACTATGATGGATTATGTTCTTGATGGCTCTCGTATAATTCAACGTTTACGTTACGTCAACTATCTTGTCCCTGGTGGTCACTTCATTAGCTTTAAGTGGAATGTGACAATCGCATTTGTAAACTTACATTGGTTATTGAACCTGTCCTTTCCTATTGAGTAGTTTAAGATTTCCGTTGAAGACCTACTCTTCGCTTTTACTTCACCACCGGTCTAAGGTCTGATTTACCAATCTTCTCACATTGTTACCCCATGTGCCCCCCCCCTTCATTGTTTGTTTTTCACCCATATGATATCATATTACCTTTCATGTGCATTCCCTTGAACAGATAACATTGATCTAAATGTTTGTTCATTTTACATCTAAGAGCATTGCCGTTCCTTTGTATTTGTTCATTTTCAACGTCTAGCGTCGATCTATACATTTGTACCCTTTCAAGGTCCACCATTGTCGTAAATATTTGTTCATTGTCGTATTTCATGTTCCAGGTACCTTCAGCAAGTACGCAGAGCGTCATCCTAAATACCAATCGGGAGAATGGAGTCAAGAACGGGTCCTCGAGAGCTTCATCGAAACATTCGATACCCCTGGCAACCCCGACGGTAAAGTGACGAGAGACGAGTTTTTGAATTACTACGCCGGGGTTAGCTCTACCGTGGACGAGGACGAATATTTTGATATGATGATGCGGTCTTGTTGGGGACTACCAAGCAAGAAGAAAAAATGATCTCATATATAATTAGTGTCATGGTAATACCTTGTGCCACTTGAGGATTGAATAATGACCCCAAAATGAATACGTATACTTTCTCTGGGGATTTATTCCTATGTGTTTTCATCCGATTCTCTGATCGAAACTTGAATTTGATCCAGCTATTGAAATTTTGTTAAATATTGAAACCTTTTTGTATCAGTCGCAGCATTGATATCACTTTGGATCATCTCATTTTGGATGTTTGAGAATACATTTTTACGTCTGCATTGAAACTGCATTGTTCACGATTGGATCTTTTGATAGATGTTAAGTTAGCTGAACTGAACTCTCTAACTATTTCGTATCATTTGAACCCTTCTTGCAAATGGATTTATCATGAATAAAAGCTGACAGCCACCATCGGAACAGATCAAACATATTTTCCTGTTTACCTTCATCAGACTTGAAAGTGCTATACTGTCGTCTCTTTCTTGTGGTCTGTTTCTACTGTTGTAGAGACCTTGGCCCGCGGGATCAATTTAGGTTTGAAATATTCTCGAGGACTACTAAGGTCATCTAAATATATATATATTGAACTCCCATTGATCTACTCTCGAATTTTACATGTTGTTGTTGATGCAACACTTCAAAGGTAAGTATCAATCCATCCTGCCTTCTGCATATAATATGTATAAAGTGGTAAACATCTGAGCAAGAGCATTGATCGAGTTTGATCATCTGGTATTAAACATCAACACTGATCTATGACGATTGTCACAACTGTGGAAATGTGAACACCCTTTAATGGAAGACATGCCTTTCATCATTAATCAAATATAAACACAATTACCAGTCTCAACTGTATTGTTATATTCAAACAACACGGAATTAAAGAATTATGAATCAAAATATTTATCCTTTGGGATTCAGTTACATCAGGGATTTACATACTTAATAAAATACCTATGGATATAACCGTTGGTTCATATACAGGGTGACACAAAAAGTGCCACCCACATAATGGTGCATAACCTTTTTGTCTGCGCAAATTCGGACTTGTTCATTTACACAGTATAACTATACTTCATGCAGCAATTTCAAATGAAGGTTCAGATGACTAGCTCAACTAGGTGCACTTTTATGGGCGTTACAAGATTTGCTCTAAATGTCGTCCATTCAATTTGAGGCACACTTCTGGATTCTACTGGTAAAACTATTGACCACATTCACCTGACACAAACCATCCAGATTTCCATCTCTAAGGGTACTTAAAGGATCATTGTGTCTGTAACAACCCCTAAATCATCGAACATCTGAATTTAGAGATCACCAGAAAGATCAGGGCCATTTCTGTGGAGCAATGTACAGAGTAAGCCAAAAAGAAGCATGGACATACTGAGAGGGGGTTAAGGGCCTCATGCGAACCCCCATTCGCCTTGAACTCCCTTTCTTTATAAAACAAACACCTGGCCGGTAACAACCCCCTTTCTGAAAGATCAACAAACCAATTCAAAGGCTGGAAACGAACCCCACTCCAAGAACAATGAATCACACATCTACACTGGCTATTTGATTAGTGTGCATATACTATATAGTACGATTCTGTCTTGCGAATCCTACATCCCCTTCGCCTTGAACCCCCTCCCCCTTTCGTTATATATCGAACCCCCAAGCCAGAGAAAAATTGAACCCCCTTGGTAAATCATGCCTACGCTCTTGGAGGAGCGTCAGAGAGTAGAAACAAGAGATCAGAAGAATGATTAGAGCCATTACACAAGACATATGTGAGCATCTAGTCATCTGGTGTGTTCAATTTAGCCTACAGAGATGAGACCGGTATTCTGAGTATGTTTTGTAAAATAACCATAAAATCGTGGTCATTTGAGGTAGACCAACGAGACTTGGTAGAATGAAAAAAACACTGAACAAGGTTAAATTGTCTAATATATGAATTTAAACCCATGCTGTATGACTGAGTTATTAATATTTGTTTGGTTTACCTTTTTTTGGCTCACCATTTATTAGGGTCATCAATAACGTTGCCTATAGGATCCAGGTGTGCCTGACATTTAGAGCACATCTTATAACTCAAAAGTGTATTGAATTGAGCTAGTCATCTGAAACATTGTGAGCGGCATTTTTGTGTTACCCTGTATATCCACAAACGGTTATATCCATTAGTATGATCAGCAGAGATTCAATATGGAATGTGAATGGCAAATTATATGATTTATGAAGTGAGATCACATAAAGGGTGACACAAAAAGGTGCCAACCACATAATGTTGCATAACTTAAGGTCAGAAATCAAAAGTTATGCAACATTACGAGGGTGGCACTTTTTGTGACATCCTATATATATATTTGACTATAAGATAGCGCATTTAAAGGAAACACAGTTTTGATTGTATTTGATTTATTCTTCAAATAAATATTAGACATTGTATGTATTCCAACAGTTTTAACAATGACGTATTGCACAATTTCAGCCATATTTCTTGGATTGTGTCTAACTGATCATGAATTGTTCTTATAAATTATTAGTATTAATATATTACGTCACGTCACGTTACATTATATTATATTTTATTATGCAAGGTTATATCATATTATATTAATTATATTGTTTCACGTCACGTTACATTATATTATATTTTATTATGCAAGGTTATATTATATTATATTAATTATATTGTATCATATTAATTATATTATATTTTATTTAATTCTATTGTATTTAGTAGATGACGTGCGCCGTGCTAAAGATATGTATACTCTTTACACTCAAATTTGTCACTTAGCCTATATCGGGCAGACATTATTAATACTTTTTTATACCATACTTATATCATATCACCACCGTAATCCAAGACATTATACGCCCCGGTTATGTCGTGTACATGCCCCCGATGCTACCAACATTGAACAATAAAATACTAGTAGCATACATGTAAGATGAAAGAATACACTGGGACAAACTATTATGATAAATGTGAATTGTAAACCAATAAAAAATAAACCATACAGAGAGAACTTCATCTAAAGGTTTGGAACTCCGTTCTATAGTAGGGGTTTAGATCCCTGACATCACCTGACATGGCGTTATAATTCCTGGCATTTCTTCCAAAAGTCGAGTTTGTACCAAATGTACTGTATCGTGGTTGCCCTGCACTGTCTCGATGAAACCTTGTTAAAGGTGATTGTAAAGGAGGTTCGTCTTTTTTATTTTTAAGGTTTATTCTTGGTATGTTTTGATGCTTCTGCTTTAAATCACCTTGATTTTTGGGCGATAGATAGTTGTCGTCAATATGTAACTCACTATGGCCACGTACATTGCTTTCGTATAAAGTATCAAAAGATGATCCTGAAAATGTAGAAAACGATGATCGCAGATCTTCATTCAGGCCCAAAATATTACTTATGTCAGCCGCTATTTCCGGGAAGGTAGGTCTCTCATAGGGGTCCAAATGCCAGCAGTCCCACATCACTATGTACCTATACTCCGTCAAATAAAAATGATGATTCGTTACAGCATATGTCTTATTTTACTGCCACCTTTAGTAATATAAATTATTTCTTACCTTATTCAATGCTATTTTGCAAGGAACTCTATTAAATCAAAATTAATTTCACTTTGAAATGTAAGTGTCCCTTTAAATATATTTACACCGTTTAAATGGACATCCTCCTTAAAGAAGAAACGATTAAAAATAATACGATTTGTATGGTAAAACCTCTCAGACTCACAGTTGTTGAGGGCAATACTCAGGCTTATCAGGTCTATGTCCAGAGATGATCAGAGCTTTTAGCATGTAAGAATCTATGTCAGCATAGGGGAATCCACCTCTGGTCATTACTTCCCATGAAAGAATACCAAAGGACCACTGAAAATAATTATAAGTATTGTATTTCAATAATAATATTGGTTAAAAATATGTCCAACCAGCACCTCTTATCGTTGCCACTTTTTACTTTTACTTTCAGCTTAATTGTATATATTACAAGCTGTTTACCCATTCTGATACTCATAGCATCTTTCTGTTTTACCTGAAACACATGCATCTCAGTGCTGAGAAGAAATGAGATGTCATGGTTTATCATGATGCTGTTTACCTACCACGTCAGACATGCTGCTAAATTTGCCGTCGACAAGACTCTCTATGGCCATCCAGCGGACTGGGAGTGGTTTGGAATGATCGGTAATTCTGTAGTATGTCTCAGAGTAGATGTCCCTGGATAGTCCAAAGTCTGCGATCTTTACGACAATGTCTGCTGAAACCCTTGAAAATATATGACAATGTTTGCGTGATTTCAATTTCCCAATGCTACCATTTATACGAGTATACTGTCACCAGAATGCAGTTAATGTTATAACACAAGTTAATTTAACCAAAACAGTTGAAATTGAAGCCAATATACCAACATAATAAAACAATATATAGCAAACATGATTGTGCTTACATGCAATTCCTTGCTGCCAAATCTCTGTGTACGAATTTCTGATCGGCGAGGTAGGCCATACCATGAGCAACTTGGAGACACAATCCCATCAAATGACGGACAGTTATTCGCTGAAACAATAGAGTGCATGACTTTATAATTAATATACTTAATACCAGAAAATGGTAAATAATTAGTGATTTCGATCATAATTGCATCTCACCTTTTCTGGATCGCGGACATATTCCTTCAAGTCTTTGTTAGCCATATATGGGACGACGAAATGTGGTATGTCATCATGAAGCGCCACACCTATTAGATTGAGAACATTCGGATGATCAAAGTCCTTCATTAAGAGACCTTCTTGTAAGAATTCTGAGAGCTGATCTTCAGTACAACCCTCTGAGGTCTTGATCGTCTTAACTGCAACATCTCTGCCTTTCATTTCAGCCCTATATACGATCCCGAACTGACCTGGAAGGAAAGATGAAGTATATAAAGTAGTTTTTCAACAGGAGGGATTTGATATGGGGAATATCAAAAGGATGATATCAATATTTCCTGAGAGAACGCAATGACCGAAAGGAAATATGGATATCGTCCGAGGGATATTCATCCGAACAGGTGAATAACGACCTTATACCATGGTCAAGAGTAATATCTACCCCAAATCTTCTGTTGAATGAGAGAAAAGAAGGATTGAATCTTGGAAATATTTACGTTACATATTATCCCACATATTATCCCACTCCAAAGTACATTGAGAATTTAAGGGCAAGAAAAACATAATACTTAAGAAAAATTAAAGATGGAGATTATTTTAATCAAAAAATAAAGATATTTCAAAGATTCAATTTTTGACAAAATGTAAAATTTTTAAATTTACCAGGAATGATATCAATATCATCCCTGATATCATTCCTCTAATCCTGATATCATGCCTGTCCCAAATATATGACTTATCACTTGCTATTATATACCTGATATTGCTCTGAAAGTGAAATAATAATACTAACACCCCAGTCACATTTCCTACGGCGACCTTGCGGTCTATCATTTCTGCGGCCAGTAACATTTTTACGCTCGCCGTGGAATTTCTGCGCTCTCATATTTTTGCAGTCACATTTCCCACGGCAGCCGCACGGTGAATTTTAAATTTCTGTTGATAAATAATACTTTTTTCATTTTATTTACATCGGGACAATTTATAAATATTATTCATAGTGCTAGGATGTAATATCAAATGAAAAGTGATCGTGAAACATTGACAAATAGTGATTCAATCTTGTTGAGCCAGTTGATTTCTACGGGGACCTCAGAAATGAACAAAAAATTAAAACTCCGAGTTATAATTTCTACGGCGACCTTGCGGCCTGTAAAAACTGGATACGCAGTACGGGAGGCCGCATGGCGAGCGTAGTTTTCCTACGCTCGCCGCAGAAATACACTGATTTAATTGATCTGCGGTCGACGCACGGCCTCCGTACGACAAATGTGACTGGGGTGTAAATATTGATACATACAAATGATATCTTCGGGTTTTGTGGAATCACAAGAATTTACCTCAACAGAATTAAACATTTGTAAAATATCATCCGAAATTTTATATACGAGTAGCTTTGATATTCTTTACCGCATATATCACCATGAGGCAAATCATGGTAGATTTTCGTACAATCCAAAACGACAGGATTATCCTAGAGATGCTGAATAGTTAACACCCTTTTCAGTTATTTATTAGTTAGTTAAGGCACAAAAACAGTTTGACTGTTTCTACGTCATTTTAAATCAAGACAAAAATATCTGCACGTTCCCTTACGTGTTCTTGAAAGTCTGTCATGTTTGGTGAAGTATTGTAACCCCATCTATTAGATTCAAACGCAGGCTTCAACACGCTATATCCATTGGAGATTCAGCTTGCTGAACTCATGGAGAGAGGGGGTATATACTATTTGGAATAAGAACATAAACTGCACGTACCTTGTCCACTGATTTCCCTTTTATTGATTATTGAGAAGTCCAACATTCTGTCTCCTAAAATCCGACTCAGCATTCTTTCCAAATCAGTTATTTCTACTCTATAGTAAGCTACAAGATAAATTCAGAGTATGTTTCCAAATGTACAGGGTGGGCCAAAAAAAAGTTCACCCTTTTTCATTTTAATCTCATTTTTTTATTTTTGATGCAATCCCTTAAAAAATTGATATGTAGATAACTGAGACATTTCTAAACAAGGTCGATATATAACATTAGGTGTGTCTTTGGCTGTTTTGTTTTTAAAATAAATGTTCAATATGTCCTCCTTGTTCCTGCACAACCAGTTTTAGTCTATGACGCCATTTATTTATTGCCGTGTTAATTGATTGTTGTGATAATTGTTCCCAACATAAAGTTATTCTTTGTTGGAGTTCTCGAACTGAATGGATGGGAACACTATGAACATGTTTTTCTAGTTCACCCCACACAAAATAATCCATAACATTGAGATCAGGGCTATTTGGGGGCCATAAGTCAGGGGGGATAAAATCAGGTGCATTGGCATGCAAGAACTCCATTGTCGCTTTAGATGTGTGCGAGGGAGCCCCATCTTGTTGGAATATGTAGTTTGGATTGATGCGATTCATATCCTTTAATAAGGACTTTTTTAGCACTCTGTCTATATAGTATGTAGAATTCATTTTGGCTCCAGTTTGAACAAATGTTACTCGACTAGTTCTTCCCAATTTAGATACGCCGGCAGATACCATTATTTTTGAGGTAAACTTTCTCCTCTCCTTTACAAGTCGCTCTCAGTGTATTTGCTTCTTTGTTTCAACATCAGCGTAAATCCGATCATTTTGTGAATTTTTAGGTGGATCAACTGTGAACATCTTCTCGTCTGTGAACCAGGTTGTATCAACCATACGTTTGGAAAATGTTCTCAGGAACTTTTGCTATTATCCAGTCTTTTCTTTCTATTTTTTTTTTTTTTTTACATACTTCATATTTATTTCTAAAAATCAATCGGTTACATTTTTACAAATTGCCATTGTTGACAGGACAACATTATCGGCAATTGAAACATTTTGATAAATAAAAATTGATATTCAGAAATACACAAAATGTTCAGAGAAGCTTTTTCTTTTTTGTTGATGTTTGGTTTGCTTGTTCCCCAGTACCAAGTTGTGGTATCAAGCTCAAATGTTAAAAATTACCCTGTCCCAGACTTAGTATAGCTTGAAATGTATAGTGAGCAGTGATTTCAATCAGTTTTTCATTTGTTTCAAAGTCCAAATTTTCATCTCCATTTAATAGAAAATGTGTTTTCCTTTGAATTGAGTATGCTTCAAAATCTCGTAAACAGTCCAAGTCTGATAGTCCTGCAAGAAGAACTTCACGTTCATTAAGGAGCAGTGGACACTTGATTAAAAAGTGTTCAGTGGTTTGAAATTTTTCACCACATTGACATTTGGGATCTGTTACCGACAGGAAATTATGAGAATAAAAGTGACTGTTCAAAAGTAGACCAGCTCTTAGTCTATTGAATTTGATTTCTATTTGCCTTGGCATGCACCTAGTCATTTTAGTAGTTGATACAGAGACAAGGCTCGTGTACTCTCTCACTGACCTTTTAAACCTTGAAATGGGTTGACCAACTCTAATCGCTGCTGGCAGTTTATTCCAAACCTTCATGGAATTAAAAATAGTGGATTTACCACAAGATGAACTCAAATGATTCGGAATTCTATAGTCATGCTGGAATCTGAGGTCTCTGGTATGAGTGATTTCATATGTACGAACTAGGTCACAAATAAAGGGTGGGAAACAGTTGAAGCGAGCTTTGAATAAGAAAATTTTTAAATGTTCATCTCTTCTCGAGGAGAGGGTTTTCCAATTAATAGAGGAAAGAACTTTGTCTGTACTTGATCCATGGATAGCACCAGACACCAGGCATGCTGCTTTGTAATGCAGTCTGTCGAGAGCTTGTAGTTTTGCTAAGGAGGCTTTATTATAGATTATGTCACAATAGTCAAAGTGTGGTAAAAAATAGGCATTATAGATTTTTTCAAGGTGCTTACCTGGTAAATTTTTACAGAGAGCTTTCAAGGGTCTAATTAGGGAGGTTATTTTACCAATTAATTGATCTATATGGGCATTGAAATTAAGTTTACAATCCAGGACTAGTCTTTCTATTGTTGTCTGTTAAGAGAGTAAGGTGCTGGCGCTTAAATGTTTTCATCTTTAACTCAGTTTTGGCAATTCTTCGAACGGTTGATCTGGATATGCCTGCTTTCTTTTCTATCTCTCTTGGAGACATGCTACTCCCTGGGTTATCCTCTTGGCTACATATTAAATCAGCTACAGTCTCTATGTTTTCTGCTGTTGTAACAGTTCTGGGACGCCCACTTCCAAGCTTCCTCTTAGTGGAGCCAGTGATGTCAACTTTTCTAATGAGTTTCGCAACTGTGCGAACATTCCAATTTTTATTTGGAAACATCTTACAGACTTTCTTTGCCCCATATTTCTTTTCTGTTCTCAGTACTTTGATTATAGCCTTATCTTCATCTGATAGGGGAGGCATGATTTCCTGTGACAGTTACTGAAAAAGAATTGCAGTTCATTTCTAAATAGTAATTTTCATTAACCCCAGTTTGAACTCAACTCTTAAGGGGTGCCCAATGACTCTGAGCTTGGAATAAAATCACCAGTATTAGTATTCCCAACTCTGAGTACCCCTTTTCCCTGCACTATAAAGCATGAACAGAATTAAAATGGCATCTTGTACAAATTATTTTATGTAGAATTTAATAACTTATTCATTTGTAATTATATCAAAAGTGTATTACATAAAACCATCAAATTATTATCAATATTGTGAACGTAAAAATGAGGAAAATTGGATAAAACCATGGATTTTCAGTAACTTGTTGACCAACTCATCTATGGTAGTATCGGGTGTTTATAAGAGTACTTAATTGTTTAAAGAGGTGTTTATCATCAACTCTGACTATTAATTAACACTCTACTTTGTAATATTTTGCATTAACTGACATAAAAATTATATTTACCATGATAACTTCTTTTCAAATTTCCCTCCTTTTTTTGAAATCCGCCATTTTGTAAATGAAGTGAATTTCTTTTTTTTTTCATGACACACCATAAATATATTTTAAGTGTCATGACAACACTGTTGCATAAATTTCACTCAAATCCTAACAACATGTACAGAAATGTCTGAGCTATATACATATAAATTTTTAGAGGCATTGCATCAAAAATAAGAAAATGAGATTAAAATGAAAAAGGGTGAACTTTTTTTTGACCCACCCTGTATATTCATGTTCGTCTCGTTACAATTTGTCACTTGTCATACGTCAATGCATGTATGGTATGATCAGCTCACAACAGCCTAAAACGCTCATGTATGATGAGGTCTGGCAACTACCCGTGTATCCTCCAGGTGTTTTTTAAATGTTATATAGAACGCGCAAGAATGACCTTAATTGAAACACTTACCATTCTTCCCCTCGTCATCTGGAACATTCACTTTTACGTATTCTGGAAACCTACTGGCAATAGCCCTTTTCACAAGACGTTTATGGGCCACTCTAATGAGTACACCAATGATAACAAGGGCCACAAACCCAGCTATAGACAGTCCCACTATCATTTCCATCTCCACGTACTTCACATATCCAAGATGGCTGAATTTTCTGCCAGTATTACCAACCTGTGCCTAAAATAATTCGATCACATTGCCATCGTGTATATTTATTATTATCATTATCAACGTAAAATTATTTGGATTTATATTGCTTTGAAAACATGTAAAGCAGCAGGGTTAGATTGCTCACTAAATCTAAGAGTGGTTGTATTATTGTCGTGGTTTATATCCTTCCTTTGGTCGCGTACGTTGTCCGCTATAGTCTCTGATGCTCTTGTTCCATTTGGCCATACATACTACAGTAGTATTGGCGCCATCGGCTCATACATGCCTTCTTTCGTCTGGTAGTCCAAAATTGACATAATTTCTCCCTTCTATCCTCTGGTCCCGTAGGACTTCAAGTGTTGATGCCATTTCTGTCTTCTATCCTTTCGTCGTTGTCAAGTGTTGACGACGCCATTTCAGCTGCCTTCTATCATTCTGTTTCCTAATCCATTGTTAAAGGCTCTCTGTATTTAATCATTTCGTCTTGTACTCCAAAACTGACGTAATTTCTGCCGCCTATCTTATCGTTGCGTAATGTTAACGCCATTTTTGCCTTTTATTCTTTCGTCTCGTAGTCCAATGTTGACACAATTTCAGGTTTCTATCATTTCGTCTCGTAGTCTAATGTTGACGCAATTTCTGGTTTCTATCATATCATCTCGTTGTCCAATGTTGACATCATTGCTGGTTTCTATCATTTCGTCTCGTAGTCTAATGTTGACGCAATTTCTGGTTTCTATCATATCATCTCGTAGTCCAATGTTGACATCATTTCTGCTTTCTATCGTATCATCTCGTTGTCCAATGTTGACACCTTATCTGCTTTCTATCATTTCTTCACGCAGTCTAATGTTGACATCAATGCTGGTTTCTATCATTTCATCTCGTAGTCCAATGTTGACATCATTTCTGGTTTCTATCATTTCATCTCGTAGTCTAATCTTGACGCCATTTCGGCCCCTGGATGAAGCAAAAGCACCAATACTTGTTCACGTTTTGTTAGTCGTTAGCTTTAATATACCTACAAATAGGCAATGACAGCTATGATTTTACCAGAGTCCCAACGAATACGTTGTACACCATTTAACAAAACATAGAACTAGATCGTATAAAGTTTTAGAAACACGCTTTATAGATGTTACCGTGACAAAATATGAACGATCTGGGCCAGCCTCGAGTTCTCCGTACTCGGGTCTATGGTTTGGAACACGACATATCACAGCATTCGTAAACATATCTTTGATTCGACAAACTCCTTCGCCAACTTTAACATTCAAATCATCCTTTGTAACAGCCTCGGATGGGGTTTTTATCTAAAAAATAATTATTTTAAAACAATTATATTGTTATTGTACGTTTACTTTGGCAATCGGATATTGTATTAAAGGCGCACGTTTCAATCTTAATAATATATACAGATAGGTCGAGGATTTTTGATGAATTTGTCAGTCGCCAAACATAGCAAGGCATCAACAAGTCGTCCTAATAAAGGAGACTTCAAGTTGCAATAATTGTAAGGGAGTACGAGTGCATGCCTGGCTGTATTTTCGTAATGCCCAAGTGCGTCTATATTCTGATAATAACATTAATTCGATTGTTCAACTTACAGGAATCGATATCGACACTATGCCCATCCAAGTATTAGCATAGAAAATATCCGGCTGTAGTCTTCCAAGTTCAATATCGTTTACTACTTTTAAATTTGTCCGAGGGTTATTAGGCAATGCTTCTGTAAGATTTTCGAATTCATCAACACCATCTAATTTAACTCCTATTCCAAAGTCGAATTCTTTGTTAATGGCCGTCGAGTTAAGATGAGTTAAATTCTGTGAAACGAGGATTGCTTGAATTAATTCCGTTATGTTAGGTGCCGGACACAACATTTTCTCAGGTTGGACATCTCCGCATACCTGAAATATGAAGAGATGGAGTCAATTAGTAAAGGAAGGCATTTACACGATTTAACAATATTTGGAAAAATCTGATCAAAGCTAGACTAACCACTGCATTTGTAATTTTGATCATTTTCACGTGTTACTGTACACCTAATCCACCATAATATTTGTGCAAATTAGAGCGTCAGAGTGCGCTTATTAGTGAAAAATAAATGCCACTATTTGCTTTAAGGTTCCAATACACCATTGGAAAGGAAAGGTGAAATTGTCAGCTCTCTAGGGATCTGACCTCAGTTCAGAGGTTTCCTGGTTACAAAGTTAAAAAATTAACCCTTTCATCACTAAGGATACATGAAATGAAATGAAAAAATCATAGTTTTCAAATGTTTTTCAAGATGTCCGATTTGTTATGTCACCACCATGTGGCGGCATATTGTTATGGTCTCCACCGTTTTTGTGACGGCGATTAGCGTCTGGTGGTTGGAGTGTGGCGTCCGGCGGTGAGCGTCTGTAACAAATTCTTACAACGTCCAATAACTTAACAAATACTGTTTAGACTGACTTCAATTGTTTTCTTCTCACGGTCAAAAAGGTCAAAAATTATGAAGAAAGTTGATATTCAGTATTGGTTTAACAAAATGCCATCCTCCGAACACATAACAGGCCTCCAGAACTCGTACCTCCTTCTTCTAGAAGAAGGAAGGAACGTAGTGGATGATGTCTAGAGCCCTGCGTTCGGAGGATGACAAAATGCAAGATTCTGAGTTCTAAGAGCAAGGTCATTGTGATTTAGTTTTGGATAAAATTATAGTAGCATGAATTTTTTCTCTTGAAAGTTATTAGTGTCTGGATATATTTTGGAATATATTTTATTTAATTATTGACCAATTGTGGATGAAATGATTAATCACCAGAGTTCCGTTATCTTATCAGATCAGTATTGCTGACACTTTCCGCTTTCCATTAGCATGTTAAAATCTTTAAAATATCTCATTCCTCTGAGTTTGCTCAACTATAAAGAATGAAAGACGCATTTGTACTGTTTACCTGTTTTACTACATGTTTGACCAGGTCAACTACAACTGTCACGGTGATTTCAGGACGGCTGATTGACGTCAGATGCTCTCCAATAATCTCGATGATAGTCCCTCCACTGTATGAAGACAAATATTATTTAAGAAATATAGACCGATGAGCAGGTGTTATATCGATGAATACACCCCGCAGATCTAGGCACAAACGTTTTCTGTAAAGCGTTTTCGAAAGCTTTTGTGCCTAGCCCTAAATGGTGTATTCGTCGATATTACACTTGCTCTGAGGTCTATATTACGATTCGAACATGAAAACTCATCAAGATTTTTCGAATATTCATTTAATGGTCCGCCATTTCTACGGCCCGCTGTTATGACGTCGCACATTACTTGATTTACTAGGGGTAGAGTTGACAAATATACTATGGGGTAAATGTTTTTTCACAGTTCATAGAAGGCGTGAATACAGTCAGGTTCGAATATTCATTCAATCGATTCGGGTACAGGGTGGTCCAAAAATAGGCACTCTTTTATTGTCATCGCATAACTCTTTAAATGTATACGATCCGATTCTTATTTTCAACTGAATCATGTACACAAAGTTTTGTGAGATCATTATATCTGAAACTCATTGAAATGAGAATATGGTGTGGTTGTACAATGGCAGCCAGTGATATTTCTGATATTATGGAGATCCCTGTGATATTTTCAGAAAATCGTTTACCAACCGCATATCCGTATGACACGCGGTCCTAACTTAACTTAATTTGAATTTTTGACCTACCGGATGTTTGAAAATCAAGGATTACGAGTCTCATACTGCACCATTTTTCTTCAAACTTGTTCCATTCAAAGCATTACAAAAATCCCTTTATGATGGTACATTATTCTCTTAAACAGAGTCCCTAATTCCAGCGGCATTTTGGTCCCCAGCTGTAAGAAGGCCTTCTAACAGCTGGGGACCAAAACGCTGCTAGAACGAGGGACTCTTTACAATAAAGTAATGCACCGACAGAAAGGCAATTTTGTTCTGCTTTTAATGGTATAAGTTTGAAGAAAAACGGTGCAGTATGAGACTCGCAATCCTTGATTTTCAAACACCTGGTAGGTCACGAGTTTTATTGCATCGTAGATAACAAAATTGATACCACTCAAAATGATCTATTATTCTTCATTTACATACCTGATTGGTCCAATATTCCTGTTTATATTTGTGATGATAGGGTTAGGCATATAAAAGAATGAGGTATTTACACCAGTTGCAGTCAGTGTTAGGGGTAGACCGCCGTTCAAGACGATAGCTATGCTGCCATTTACGCCCCGAGAAGATTCTCCCGTCATACACGTCACGGGTGTAACGTCAGTAGGACTGAAATAGAACGTTTGATATAGGGAGCATAATGGTTTAGTATTTCTTCTATCATTTCTTTAAACGGTTATCAATAATTAATTTAAAGGGATAATGCAAGTTGTAATTCCCACTTTGTAACTTACACAATCAAGAGACATAAATCCTCTTTTCTGGAATCATCGAATAAAACGTTCAAAGTGAATTAAATGTCGTTTAAAATTGGAAGGCGCAGATATTTAATTTGATTTGAAATTTGTCATACTGCTCACTTGGGGAGGAATTTATTTGCAAGTTTTGATTTTTTCCAGAAAAGACGGACTGTATGAAAGTCTATCCGATGGTCAGAGTAACAACTTATGAATTAATTTCAAAACCTGATGATTTGGCATGGAACACCTGCCGTCGTTATGGATTCTACATGTTCATATGGTTTCATATTCGCTATATCGATTTGTACCATTGTGCCCCCAGCTTCAGGACCATAGTTTGGATTGATTCCAGTAATTATAGAAGCGGGATGACAACTTCCATTATATAGAATATCCCCAGGCAAACATGACGACGTCACTAAAACAAAAGAATTGTACTGTACATGTCATTATCAGACTAATTAAGAATATTTGAGATCATTTATAAACTTGGATTGGCTCAAATTCCAATTACTTATTCTGATAGAATGGAGGATAGATCAAAGTTAACAACAGTGCAGGCGAAGTTCTCTTTTTGGGACAAAGTCAAAGACAAAATATGGAACATGATGTTAGGATACTGAGTTAAAAAAGATATATTGCAAAACCTGTTGCCATTCCAGGGGCAGTAAGCAGACACCACTTATCTATAGCCTACATAGAAATAAAAAAAAAACACAGAAAATCCAGAATTATATATGTCCTGTTGAAGAACCCTAATTTTTATTACTTTGAACCTTTAGTATTGATATTGCTCTACTGATTCCTGTTTTTAAAGCAAATCGCTTGGAACTTTTTGAAGTTATGGAGGATTCTAGCAAGGGGCGATATTCAAGAGTCAAGAATATTTAGGTGAAAATATTTCAAAAATATAAAGAAGCAATTTTAAGGTGGATTTCAAAACTTCATACCATTTTTTTGAAAACCTGGAGTGGCACTTAGCAATCCATTGACTTTTTCACCAAAAATCCAAGATGGCTGCCACGATGTATCGAAAAATCATAAAAATTGACTAAAGTTGAAATTTAATAAGTCAAAATAGTTGTATACTGATCAAACATGACAAATAATAGTACTTATTAGATGTTCATATGCATGTCAAGTCATTTGATCATTTTAGTGTGAAAACTGGAGTCCCACAAGGCTCAACTTTATCTCCGCTACTTTTTTAGTCCAATGTCTTGCATTGGCCATGGGATTTGCACTTAGCAGTGCATACTTATCCACTTTTGTAATATGTGCACCTAGGACCACATTTCACCTTGCACCCACACTTGACCAATGCTTGGCATGTCTTAGCTGCTTGAGAAAGGGCTGTCCGCAGTGGCACCAGTAGAGACATGTCATACTGGCAGCCCCATGTTGTGAACTCCAATACCCATTTTGGACGGAGATTTTACAGTTGGCCTCAAACAATACCACCTTGGTTAGCAATTTTTTAAGATTTTCTGAGCAAGGGCTCCTTTTGTTGGTGGTATTCTGTCAATGACTGTATGGCCACAGAACATTAGCGTTCGTGTTGCATTGATATCTATGATAGTTGGTTGGTGTAATGCTTTGATATTTGAACTAAATCAGACTTATATAACATGGGAACTCTGGAGTATGATCATTTGTCCATATATCATGGGTGGGCGCCACAGTTTAACGATATCTTCCACCGTTTTAGGGAAGGTAACTGGGATTTTGGTTTTACAGATGATAGGATAACTGATATGCGGTGGTACAGTAATGTTATGAGAGTTTGTAATGGAGAGTTAGATGTCCAGTTTCCGCGTATTGAAAACTAACATGACCATTACCGTATCTTACATTTCCAGTTACCTTCCCTTAAGCAATTGAGGAAATCGTTGAACGTTGGCGCCCACGAAAGATATATGAACAAAGTACTATTGTCCATAGTTCTCATGTCATATAAGCCTGATTTGGTTCAAATATCAAGGCATAACGTTAACTTTAAAGTAGTTTAATTCGATGAAAACATTATTTTTTACCAATGTTTATAATTCAAGAGACAAATTATGGTTTACCTAGTGTCATATTGTAACTTTCAAGCACTCGAGAAGTTTTGGCCCTGGTGACGGATAAGTAAGAGCGTTTTTAGGGGAAAACTGTAAATTACCTACGCCCCGGGGCCTATACCTTGAATTTTACCACTGAAATACAATTTTTAGTAAGGATTATCACTTAGGAACAACCTTTCAAAATTTGGTGTAAAAATACTGCATAGAACTGGAGATATTGTCATTTTATTGATGTATGTGAATAAAAATAATGGTGCCAAAAGGAGCCTATCGTCCTGGAAGATTTTAAATGTGGACAGTTATATACATGTACCTATGTAGGTTTCACGGCCACATATATGTACAAATGTTATTATGTTTTAATGAAATAAAAAATGAATAAATAAATGAAAACATCTGTGATACCATATGTAGCATGTCACATTAATGTCATTAAAATTATGCCGTATTTGCTACAACTTAAAGTTGTGCCCTATTTTCTCAAAATAAGTCCCAATATAACCTCCATTGACTTGCATCCATAGAAAAAATGGTGTAAATGATTATGCCAAGATTATGAGCCCCTAACTTTAGGCAGAACGGCGAATCCCCTTTCATTTTACCAAAACAACAGAATCTGGTTTCTATGTTTATGGATGACCAGAGAGTTTCCATGCCATGAATTGAGGGGTACAAACAAAATATTTTACTTATAAAGGTCAATATTACCAAAGTGCCTACATCTTACACATACATCTTTCATTAAGGGAACTATTTTGAGTATTATTTTCAATAATGATTTTTGCAATGTATTGCCCGCAGCCCATTGGGTGACGACATACATAACAAGCTTCAGAAAACTTTTATGGAATAAATAGGCTATTAATGGTCGTGCTGGAATATGAATTTTTTCTCGAGAAAATATGATACTGGCCTCGGAAAATACCATATTTACACATCGGTCAAATGATATTTTCCTTGGTCAATATCATATTTTCCCTCGAAATAAAATTCCACCCCTCCCATTAAATAACCTCTATATAATTCCAGGAATGTATGTATCCTTGGTGGCATGACTCAAAACATTTGCCTATATAGAGACTGAGAGAGCTAATTTCGAAATTGAATGATCACCCCTTGTACGTGCTACCATTTCTATAGCTATATATAGCTCAGATGGAAAGAGTGACCCATTCCTCGTTGGTAACGGTACCGCGGTAGTCGATTGAATCAAACCTCATTTAACGATATATGGACGTAAATAAAGTGTAACTCACCACTGCAGTCATCTTTGGTTGTAGCCCCATCTGAATCTGTGGTCTTTCTTGAAGGACATCGACTGCACTTCTGAGAGCCAGCTTTATCAGAATAAGAACCCAACGGACACGATAGACATATACTAGCTCCAGTATAACTTGCATATGTACCAGTTTGACACCATGTGCATCCGTCAGACCCGGAAAAATTCGCAAAAGTGCCAATTGGACATAATGTGCATTTGCTAGATCCAGTAGAATTCGCAAAAGTACCAGTTCGACATGGGGTGCATTCATTAGATCCAGTAGAATTCGCAAAAGTACCAGTTCGACATGGAGTGCATTCATTAGATCCAATAGAATTCGCAAAAGTACCAGTTTGACATGGAGTGCATTCATTAGATCCAATAGAATTCGCAAAAGTACCAGTTTGACATGGAGTGCATTCATTAGATCCAGTAGAAATCGCAAAAGTACCAGTTTGACATGGAGTGCATTCATTAGATCCAGTAGAAATCGCAAAAGTACCAGTTTGACATGGAGTACATTCATTGGATCCAGTAGAATTCGCAAAAGTACCAGTTTGACATTGAGTGCATTTATTAGATCCAATAGAATTCCCCAAAGTACCAGTTTGACATGGAGTACATTCATTAGAACCAGTAGAATTCGCAAAAGTACCAGTTTGACATTGAGTGCATTCACTAGATCCAATAGAATTCGCAAAAGTACCAGTTTGACATGGAGTGCATTCATTAGATCCAGTAGAATTCGCAAAAGTACCAGTTTGACATGGAGTACATTCATTAGATCCAATAGAATTCGCAAAAGTACCAGATTGACATGGCGTGCATTCATTGGATCCAATAGAAATCGCAAAAGTACCAGATTGACATGGAGTGCATTCATTGGATCCAATAGAATTCGCAAAAGTGCCAGTTTGACACGGAGTGCATTCATTAGATCCAGTAGAACTCGCAAAAGTACCAGTTTGACATGGAGTGCATTCATTAGATCCAGTAGAATTCAGGAACGAACCAAATCGACATGTTGTGACATCGGCTGCAGTAGTACCAGACTCAAGCGTTGGTATAAAACTATGAGATATAGATACTGCCTCTGTTGTAACATCAGCTGCAGCAGTAATATCAGACACAGCTGAAGCTACAGTATCAGTTGGAAATATCACCTTTGTTGTAACATCAGCCTTAATAATTTCAGAATCAGTTGATGCTACAGCATCAGTTGCAGATATCACATTTGTTGTAACATCAGCCTTAGTAATATCAGACTCAGTTCGTGCTAAAGCATCAGTTGGTGATACCTCATCTGTGGTAACATCAACCTTAGTAATATCATAATCAGTTGGTGCTAAAGTATCAGTTGGTGATACCGACTCTGTGGTAACATCAACCTTAGTAATATCAGAATCAGTTGGTGCTAAAGTATCAGTTGGAGATACCGCTTTAGTTGTAACATCAGCCTTAGTTACATCAGACTCAGTGTAAGGAGATACTGCTTCTGTTGTAAAACGACCCTCTGTTGTTGATTTAGTTTGTGATTCAATTGTTTCAGACTCAGTCGGTGCTAAAGTATCAGTTGGCAATACTGCCTCTGTTGTAACATCAGCCTTAGTAATATCAGAATCAGTTCGTGCTACAGTATCAGTTGGAGATACCGCCTCTGTTGTGACACTAGAAGCAGTAATATCAGGCTCTGTTGTAGCTTCAGTATCAGTTGGAGATACCACCTCTGTTGTGGCACTAGAAGCAGTAATATCAGGCTCTGTTGTTGCTTCAGTATCAGTTGGAGATACCGCTTCTGTTGTGACACTAGAACCAGTTACATCAGACTCAGTGTAAGGAGATACTGCTTCTGTTGTAAAACGACCCTCTGTTGTGGATTTAGTTTGTGATTCAATTGTTTCAGACTCAGTCGGTGCTAAAGTATCAGTTGGCAATACTGCCTCTGTTGTAACATCAGCCTTAGTAGCATCAGAATCAGTTCGTGCTACAGTATCAGTTGGCGATACCGCCTCTGTTGTGACACTAGAAGCAGTAATATCAGGCTCTGTTGTAGCTTCAGTATCAGTTGGAGATACCGCCTCTGTTGTGACACTAGAAGCAGCAATATCAGGCTCTGATGTAGCTTCAGTATCAGTTGGAGATACCGCCTCTGTTGTGGCACTAGAAGCAGTAATATCAGGCTCTGTCGTTGCTTCAGTATCAGTTGGAGATACCGCTTCTGTTGTGACACTAGAAGCAGTAATATCAGACTCTGTTGTTGCTTCAGTATCAGTTGGAGATACCGCCTCTGTTGTGACACTAGAAGCAGCAATATCAGGCTCTGTCGTTGCTTCAGTATCAGTTGGAGATACCGCTTCTGTTGTGACACTAGAAGCAGTAATATCAGGCTCTGTCGTTGCTTCAGTATCAGTTGGAGATACCGCTTCTGTTGTGACACTAGAAGCAGTAATATCAGGCTCTGTTGTTGCTTCAGTATCAGTTGGAGATACCGCCTCTGTTGTGACACTAGAAGCAGTAATATCAGGCTCTGTTGTTGCTTCAGTATCAGTTGGAGATACCGCCTCTGTTGTGACACTAGAAGCAGTAATATCAGACTCTGTTGTAGCTTCAGTATCAGTTGGAGATACCGCCTCTGTTGTGACACTAGAAGCAGTAATATCAGGCTCTGTTGTTGCTTCAGTATCAGTTGGAGATACCGCCTCTGTTGTGACACTAGAAGCAGTAATATCAGGCTCTGTTGTAGCTTCAGTATCAGTTGGAGATACCACCTCTGTTGTGGCACTAGAAGCAGTAATATCAGGCTCTGTTGTTGCTTCAGTATCAGTTGGAGATACCGCCTCTGTTGTGACACTAGAAGCAGTAATATCAGGCTCTGTTGTTGCTTCAGTATCAGTTGGAGATACCGCCTCTGTTGTGACACTAGAAGCAGTAATATCAGGCTCTGTTGTAGCTTCAGTATCAGTTGGAGATACCGCCTCTGTTGTGACACTAGAAGCAGTAATATCAGGCTCTGTTGTAGCTTCAGTATCAGTTGGAGATACCGCCTCTGTTGTGACACTAGAAGCAGTAATATCAGTCTCTGTTGTTGCTTCAGTATCAGTTGGAGATACCGCCTCTGTTGTGACACTGGAAGCAGTAATATCAGTCTCTGTTGTAGCTTCAGTATCAGTTGGAGATACCGCCTCTGTTGTGACACTAGAAGCAGTAATATCAGTCTCTGTTGTAGCTTCAGTATCAGTTGGAGATACCGCCTCTGTTGCAACACTAGAAGCAGTAATATCAGACTCTGTTGTTGCTTCAGTATCAGCTGGAGATACCGCCTCTGTTGTGACACTAGAAGCAGTAATATCAGTCTCTGTTGTTGCTTCAGTATCAGTTGGAGATACCGCCTCTGTTGTGACACTAGAAGCAGTAATATCAGTCTCTGTTGTAGCTTCAGTATCAGTTGGAGATACCGCCTCTGTTGTGACACTAGAAGCAGTAATATCAGTCTCTGTTGTAGCTTCAGTATCAGTTGGAGATACCGCCTCTGTTGCGACACTAGAAGCAGTAATATCAGACTCTGTTGTTGCTTCAGTATCAGCTGGAGATACCGCCTCTGTTGTGACACTAGAAGCAGTAATATCAGTCTCTGTTGTTGCTTCAGTATCAGTTGAAGATACCGCCTCTGTTGTGACACTAGTAGCTGTTATATCAGCCTCTGTTATTGCTTCAGTATCAGTTGGAGATACCACCTCTGTTGTGGCACTAGAAGCAGTAATATCAGGCTCTGTTATTGCTTCAGTATCAGTTGGAGATACCGCCTCTGTTGTGGCACTAGAAGCAGTAATATCAGAATCAGTTCGTGCTACAGTATCAGTTGGAGATACCGCCTCTGTTGTGACACTAGAAGCAGTAATATCAGAATCAGATCGTGCTACAGTATCAGTTGGAGATACCGCCTCTGTTGTGACACTAGAAGCAGTAATATCAGGCTCTGTTATTGCTTCAGTATCAGTTGGAGATACCACCTCTGTTGTGGCACTAGAAGCAGTAATATCAGGCTCTGTTGTTGCTTCAGTATCAGTTGGAGATACCACCTCTGTTGTGGCACTAGAAGCAGTAATATCAGGCTCTGTTGTTGCTTCAGTATCAGTTGGAGATACCGCCTCTGTTGTGACACTAGAAGCAGTAATATCAGGCTCTGTTGTTGCTTCAGTATCAGTTGGAGATACCGCCTCTGTTGTGACACTAGAAGCAGTAATATCAGACTCTGTTGTAGCTTCAGTATCAGTTGGAGATACCGCCTCTGTTGTGACACTAGAAGCAGTAATATCAGGCTCTGTCGTTGCTTCAGTATCAGTTGGAGATACCGCTTCTGTTGTGACACTAGAAGCAGTAATATCAGACTCTGTTGTTGCTTCAGTATCAGTTGGAGATACCGCCTCTGTTGTGACACTAGAAGCAGTAATATCAGGCTCTGTTGTTGCTTCAGTATCAGTTGGAGATACCGCCTCTGTTGTGACACTAGAAGCAGTAATATCAGGCTCTGTTGTAGCTTCAGTATCAGTTGGAGATACCGCCTCTGTTGTGACACTAGAAGCAGTAATATCAGGCTCTGTTGTAGCTTCAGTATCAGTTGGAGATACCGCCTCTGTTGTGACACTAGAAGCAGTAATATCAGGCTCTGTTGTAGCTTCAGTATCAGTTGGAGATACCGCCTCTGTTGTGACACTAGAAGCAGTAATATCAGTCTCTGTTGTTGCTTCAGTATCAGTTGGAGATACCGCCTCTGTTGTGACACTAGAAGCAGTAATATCAGTCTCTGTTGTTGCTTCAGTATCAGTTGGAGATACCGCCTCTGTTGTGACACTGGAAGCAGTAATATCAGTCTCTGTTGTAGCTTCAGTATCAGTTGGAGATACCGCTTCTGTTGTGACACTAGAAGCAGTAATATCAGTCTCTGTTGTAGCTTCAGTATCAGTTGGAGATACCGCCTCTGTTGCGACACTAGAAGCAGTAATATCAGACTCTGTTGTTGCTTCAGTATCAGCTGGAGATACCGCCTCTGTTGTGACACTAGAAGCAGTAATATCAGTCTCTGTTGTTGCTTCAGTATCAGTTGGAGATACCGCCTCTGTTGTGACACTAGAAGCAGTAATATCAGTCTCTGTTGTAGCTTCAGTATCAGTTGGAGATACCGCCTCTGTTGCGACACTAGAAGCAGTAATATCAGACTCTGTTGTTGCTTCAGTATCAGCTGGAGATACCGCCTCTGTTGTGACACTAGAAGCAGTAATATCAGTCTCTGTTGTTGCTTCAGTATCAGTTGAAGATACCGCCTCTGTTGTGACACTAGTAGCTGTTATATCAGGCTCTGTTATTGCTTCAGTATCAGTTGGAGATACCACCTCTGTTGTGGCACTAGAAGCAGTAATATCAGGCTCTGTTATTGCTTCAGTATCAGTTGGAGATACCGCCTCTGTTGTGGCACTAGAAGCAGTAATATCAGAATCAGTTCGTGCTACAGTATCAGTTGGAGATACCGCCTCTGTTGTGACACTAGAAGCAGTAATATCAGAATCAGATCGTGCTACAGTATCAGTTGGAGATACCGCCTCTGTTGTGACACTAGAAGCAGTAATATCAGGCTCTGTTATTGCTTCAGTATCAGTTGGAGATACCACCTCTGTTGTGGCACTAGAAGCAGTAATATCAGGCTCTGTTGTTGCTTCAGTATCAGTTGGAGATACCGCCTCTGTTGTGACACTAGAAGCAGTAATATCAGTCTCTGTTGTAGCTTCAGTATCAGTTGGAGATACCGCCTCTGTTGTGACACTAGAAGCAGTAATATCAGTCTCTGTTGTAGCTTCAGTATCAGTTGGAGATACCGCCTCTGTTGTGACACTAGAAGCAGTAATATCAGGCTCTGTTGTAGCTTCAGTATCAGTTGGAGATACCGCCTCTGTTGTGACACTAGAAGCAGTAATATCAGACTCTGTTGTAGCTTCAGTATCAGTTGGAGATACCGCCTCTGTTGTGACACTAGAAGCAGTAATATCAGGCTCTGTTGTTGCTTCAGTATCAGTTGGAGATACCGCCTCTGTTGTGACACTAGAAGCAGTAATATCAGGCTCTGTTGTAGCTTCAGTATCAGTTGGAGATACCACCTCTGTTGTGGCACTAGAAGCAGTAATATCAGGCTCTGTTGTTGCTTCAGTATCAGTTGGAGATACCGCCTCTGTTGTGACACTAGAAGCAGTAATATCAGGCTCTGTTGTTGCTTCAGTATCAGTTGGAGATTCCGCCTCTGTTGTGACACTAGAAGCAGTAATATCAGACTCTGTTGTTGCTTCAGTATCAGTTGGAGATACCACCTCTGTTGTGGCACTAGAAGCAGTAATATCAGGCTCTGTTGTTGCTTCAGTATCAGTTGGAGATACCGCCTCTGTTGTGACACTAGAAGCAGTAATATCAGGCTCTGTTGTTGCTTCAGTATCAGTTGGAGATACCACCTCTGTTGTGGCACTAAAAGCAGTAATATCAGGCTCTGTTGTTGCTTCAGTATCAGTTGGAGATACCGCCTCTGTTGTGACACTAGAAGCAGTAATATCAGGCTCTGTTGTTGCTTCAGTATCAGTTGGAGATACCGCCTCTGTTGTGACACTAGAAGCAGTAATATCAGGCTCTGTTGTTGCTTCAGTATCAGTTGGTGATACCGCCTCTGTTGTGGCACTAGAAGCAGTAATATCAGGCTCTGTTGTTGCTTCAGTATCAGTTGGAGATACCGCCTCTGTTGTGACACTAGAAGCAGTAATATCAGGCTCTGTTGTTGCTTCAGTATCAGTTGGAGATACCGCCTCTGTTGTAACACTAGAAGCAGTAATATCAGGCTCTGTTGTTGCTTCAGTATCAGTTGGAGATACCGCCTCTGTTGTGACACTAGAAGCAGTAATATCAGGCTCTGTTGTTGCTTCAGTATCAGTTGGAGATACCACCTCTGTTGTGGCACTAGAAGCAGTAATATCAGGCTCTGTTGTAGCTTCAGTATCAGTTGAAGATACCGCCTCTGTTGTGGCACTAGAAGCAGTAATATCAGGCTCTGTTGTAGCTTCAGTATCAGTTGGTGATACCGCCTCTGTTGTGACACTAGAAGCAGTAATATCAGGCTCTGTTGTTGCTTCAGTATCAGTTGGATTTACCGCCTTAGTTGTAACATCATCAACAGTAATATCAGATTCAGTTGGTGCTAAAGTATCAGTTGGAAGTACCGCCTAAGTTATAACATCAGCCTTAGTTACATCAGACTCAGTGTAAGGAGATACTGCTTCCTCTGTTGTAAAACGACCCTCTGTTGTGGATTCAGTTTGTGAATCAATTGTTTCAGACTCAGTTGGTGCTAAAGTATCAGTTGGCAATACTGCCTCTGTTGTAACATCAGCCTTAGTAATATCAGACTCAGTTCGTGCTACAGTATGAGTTGGAGATATCGCCTCTGTTGTAACATCAGCCTTAGTAATATCAGACTCAGTTCGTGCTACAGTATCAGTTGGAAATACCGCCTCTATTGTAACATCAGCCTTAGTAATATCAGACTCAGTTGGAGCTACAGTATCAGTTGGTGATGCCGCCTCTGTTGTAACATCAGCCTTAGTAATATCAGAATCAGTTGGTGCCAGAGTATCAGTTGGTGATGCCGCCTCTGTTGTACCATCAGCCTTAATAATATCAGAATCAGTTGGAACTACAGTATCATTAGGTGATGCCGCCTCTGTTGTACCATCAGCCTTTATAATATCAGAATCAGTTGGAACTACAGTATCATTAGGTGATGCCGCCTCTGTTGTAACATCAGCCTTAGTAATATCAGAATCAGTTGGTGCCAGAGTATCAGTTGGTGATGCCGCCTCTGTTGTAACATCAGCCTTAGTAATATCAGAATCAGTTGGAACTACAGTATCATTAGGTGATGCCGCCTCTGTTGTAACATCAGCCTTAGTAATATCAGAATCTGTTGGTGCCACAGTATCAATAGGTGATGCCGCCTCTGTTGTAACATCAGCCTTAGTAATATCAGAATCTGTTGGTGCCACAGTATCAATAGGTGATGCCGCCTCTGTTGTAACATCAGCCTTAGTAATATCAGAATCTGTTGGTACAACAGTATCAGTTGGCGACGCCGCCTCTGTTGTAACATCAGCCTTAGTAATATCAGAATCTGTTGGTGCCACAGTATCAGTTGGCGATGCCGCCTCTGTTGTAACATCAGCCTTAGTAATATCAAAATCTGTTGGTGCTACAGTATCAGTTGGCGATGCCGCCTCTGTTGTAACATCAGCCTTAGTAATATCAAAATCTGTTGGTGCCACAGTATCAGTTGGCGATGCCGCCTCTGTTGTAACATCAGCCTTAGTAATATCAGAATCTGTTGGTGCCACAGTATCAGTTGGCGATGCCGCCTCTGTTGTAACATCAGCCTTAGTAATATCAGAATCTGTTGGTGCCACAGTATCAGTTGGCGATGCCGCCTCTGTTGTAACATCAGCCTTAGTAATATCAAAATCTGTTGGTGCTACAGTATCAGTTGGCGATGCCGCCTCTGTTGTAACATCAGCCTTAGTAATATCAAAATCTGTTGGTGCCACAGTATCAGTTGGTGATGCCGCCTCTGTTGTAGCATCAGCCTGAGTAATGTCAGAATCAGTTGGTGCTACAAAATCTGGTGCTACAGTATCCGCCTCTGTCGTAACATCATCAACAGTAATATCAGAATCTGTTGGTGTTACAGTATCAATTTTTTTTACCGCCTCTGTTGTAACATCAGCCTTAGTAATATCAGACTCAGTTGGTGCTACAGTATCAGTTGGAGATACCGCCTCTGTTGTAACATCAGCCTTAGTAATATCAGACTCAGTTGGTGCTACAGTATCAGTTGGAGATACCGCCTCTGTTGTAACATCAGCCTTAGTAATATCAGACTCAGTTCGTGCTACAGTATCAGTCGGAGATATCGCCTGTATTGTAACATCAGCCTCATTAATATTAGACTCAGTGTAAGGAGATACTGCTTCTGTTGTAAAACGACCCTCTGTTGTGGATTTAGTTTGTGATTTAATTGTTTCAGACTCATTTGGTGCTTCAGTATCAGATGAAGATACTGCTTCTGTTGTAATAGCAAATGCAGAGATTGTCGTCAGAGCATCCTCGGTAAAAGAGCTTACTCTTATATCAGATTCACGTTTGCCATGAGTAGTGTTTGGGTATATTGTAGTTGGATCAGATCCTGCTGAGTAGCCATGATATGTTGACACATGAACATTGGGCTGAGTAGTCCCCGAAATGGCGCTAACTCCAGATTTGGTGACAAGATCTTAAATAAAAAAATAAACAAATGTCGATCATAAAAAGCATAAATCTATTATTCCATTGCGTGTATTAGGGGACATAAGAGAATAAACCGTAAACACTATGCTAAATAAATGATTTAAAAAAGTAAAAATAAATAAATGGGGGTTTGTAATTCTCCCCTTTAAAGGTTCTGTAGCTCATTCTTTACTTTTTTCTTCTTTTTTCATTCTTTACTCTAACATCAAAGTGTTCATGTAACCAGGATACATGCGGCATTGTAATAATTTTAGAGATTGTATGACACGATATAAAATATTTAAATAGCGCATTCCCATTTCTATTGGTTGAACGCATACGGTAAAAAGCCGAAAGCCAAATATACATCGAAATTGTAAAAAATGTAAAAATAAAGATGGCAGTACGATCGATCTGTAATAAAGAAAATATTAATTCTTTCATGCTTTATAGTTAATGATGTTGAAATTAATTTCATAACAAACATGATATCAAAACAAACCATCAGCCTTTTAAACTTTATTTCATTATGTAGTGTAATCCTACTACTGAAACCCCGACGGTTAACATTTAATTGTGATGAAATGTACTTTTTACATCCTGATTCGTGCGTTTAACACGTCATTTCCATGTTTCACAACATGAAACACTCCACACCCCACTGGCTTTCTTTCATATCATTTTAACATGTCTTATATGTACAAAATCTTGTAATAAATAAAAATTAATACTACATGTACAATGCGCAACGTTAAAGGCCCCCATGTAAAGTTATGTTTTTATCATTTATTTATTTATTTTCATGCCTTTTAAAGTTATTTTACAGATTTTTGAAAAAAAATATTCAAATAATCCTCTTTACATTGCAAAAACATTATCTCTTTAACAACATTGTGAAGACTGAACAATTTTTTCCAATAATAAAATGTCGTATTAGTCTACATCTAATGTGCCACCACATAAATGTTTTAGCATACTAAAATCGATGGTCCTAACTTTTTTGAAAAAAATCAAAATTTTCTTTATGGCAATCTTATCTTAAAGGCAGAATCAGGTCTAAAGTGACTAAATTGCAAGCAATATGTACAATTGGTCTTCCAGTGCATTCCTTACAAGCTCAAATATAATATCTCCCAAAAGATCTGTGATACAGTGTATATTATTCATTGGTTAAGTTATATAAGATTCAAAGTGCAAAAATGGGGGAGATATTTAAATCCTCCCGAATAATAAGAATGGTAATGATTGCATTTTTGTAAAAATCTTTAGTTTTCCTCAAATAAAGTATATACGTACTTGGGGTATCTTTAGAAAATAGACGTGACAAGGAAGGATATGAGCCCAAAATATTCTAGAATTGAAACAATTTTCGCCAAGATGAAGCACCAAAGTGATGGACGTAATTGCTAGATCTGATTCTGCCTTTAATATGATAAACTCTCAAAATGTTTATTGTCTAACCAGGTTGAAAAGAAGCATATCACTGGTGATCCACTTGATTACGATGGTTACCAAAACGGTTCGTTTTGGTAACAAAATGTCGGAACGTCGAAGGTACGATTTTTCGTTTTTCCTTATTTCACGCGTTGTAGGCAGAATCTCCACGACGTTTTTTTCTCACAATAGCTCAGAAGACAACAGAATCGTCAATTTAATTCCTCACTTATGTTACATAAACGGTTTTGGTTAAAAGTGCAGATCTTAACTGTTTTTCGAAAAACCGTTTATGTAACTTAAGTGAAGAATTAAATCGACGATTCTGTTGTCTTCTGAACTATTTGTTCGCACATATTGCATTTTCTTAAACATATGATACTGATACACGTTTGTGTTAAAAAATGTCATTGGAATTCTGCCTACAACGTTTGAAATAAGGAAAAGAGAAAAATCGTACCTTCGACGTTCCGACATTTTGTTACCAAAACGAACCGTTTTGGTAACCAGCGTAATCGAGTGGATCACCAGTGAATATATTATGTTTTAAATGTGACTCCATCATTGAGGGTACCATTTTCATGCATGGATGAGTTTACATCCCGCTTATATGAATCAATTGTCTGAAGTTGTTCTACAAAACACTTAAGTGAAGATGGATGCTTTGTTTTACTGTGAATTGTCGATAATTGAAGTATATGTGTAAGCTAGCTCTAAAATTTGATTTTAAATAAATTCACGATTTTTCGAATAAAAAGTCCTTTGAAACCCACGTTCATATTAATTCACATTTTGATAACATTAGGTAAGACTACAATATAAGCCAAACTTGTTTAAACTTAATACGGGACCTTTAAGCCTGTGATGGTTGTGCTTAGGCGTCACTACATTCATGCTTATCATAAATTTCATATATCACCATCACACTATAGCCATTCCAACCATGAACTTGAAGTCGATTCACAAATGTGATGGTCCTGGTATTTTATGGTCCTGGCTTTACATCTAGTGTCATTGACGTGAATCATCTATGCTCTTTTAAGTAAAATGGATCATACTCGACCCGTTGAAATATAAAGTGTCAGTATTTTGTATTTTTTGAAACTGATTCTTAGAATCTTGAGTGACTTTCATAGTTGATTAATATATGCATATGGCCATTCAAGCCCAGGATATATTTCAGATCGTTTTCACATGTTTTCATATGTTGAATTATTAGGGATTGGTTGAGACACTGTTTCTCTTTATTATGTCTACTAAAGCGATCGTGTCATTTTAGACTCCATATCATTTCAGCCTCCTTAATTTCATGAAAATAATATTTGAATATACAGGTGAAGAAACCGATGATTCTGACTGAAAAGATCATTTGCAAAATAGGGAGAAAGTAATGCTCATTTCCCTAATCATTGTTTTTATGTGGAGTAAACTGGCATTGAAGTGGCCGTTCAATAAATATAGGTACTTATAATTTTTTAACCGAAGTCATACTCACGTATTGTAAAACAGATGAGGATACGAAAGATCCGCATGCCAGTTTTCAAAATATCATCTCTGCAAAGTCCCATCGTTCCTCAGTTCCCCATTTTAATTAAATACATGACTTTTGTGTTTCTAAGTACATCTATGTCTAGTTACTTCAGAGCCATAAGGAAGTAAAAAGATATGTGAGTGTATTACATGTATGTCTGTATCATTTGGTACATCACTTAAATATGCATGTACGCACAGATAGCTTGCGAAACTGTATTCTTAAAACGATTACTTTTTGTCATCTCTCTACATTATTTTTCATTAACATTTAAGCGAATGGTTGCTATGTATTAGTGCATAATTTACTTTTCATATGGGTAGTTTTGCATCAATATCCCTCAACCCCCTCTCATCTCATTCGCTTCCAAAGTCGTACGGTGGATGCAATATATGTTTAGGGTCTCGGGACTCACATTTAAGCCCTTAGCAAGACTATATAGTGTTAAAGGGGACACCAATCACTGGTGAACAATAAAATCAGAAAGTCCGTTTCACTGGCATAGTTAAAAATTGCCATTGGATCGTACCCTCGAAAGATAGACTCAACATTTAAATTATGCGATAAAAGATGGATGCCCTCTCGTGATCTCAGTCCCATCAATCAGCGTGCTGTGAATATGGGTACCCTTGATAATGAAATAACGTGAGAATTCAGTCTGTATTCGTGGGAAGTTGTATTGGTATTCGTATCATATTATTCAAGTTCAAAAAGAATAAGTTGATAAAGTGGAAAGATATAAATATGTTATTTACTGTTAACCTTATAAACGAAACATACAATTTATATCGGTTTTTAAAGAAAATACCAAAACTCGAATATGAATGTAGTTATATTAATTAATACAAGTTGACATTTCAAATATGATGCTGAGACTTACTGGCGTGTTATATACTTATGTACGACTTATAATTCACGAACTGCCGGGAACGTCTAATTTTGATAAAGAGCAGGGACATTGGATTTTACGATGTCAAAGATTTCGCATAAATTATTTTCATTTTGAAAATTACTTAATCCCAGATAAGATTACAATTTAATTCATCCTACAATTTTTGCCTGTTTTGAAAATAGAAAATATTTATTTAAAAAACGTAAAAAATCTGATACGATTTTGGCTGATATGGGATGGTATCCTGTACGGAATCTGACTTTTTGAATATTAATTAGATTTCCTGATTATTATCTAGGGAAAACATTTTATTGAATAAAATAAAATATCGACCCGGTCGTCCATTGTATATGACTGCTTATCCTATGCCAAGTAGAGTTTTAGGGAGATAAGTTGGTAAGATATATCCCGTATCCTGATTTTGAGGTTTCCATATCCAGAACCTCCATATCTCCCGCCATATATCCCGCTTCGGTGCTTATCTTCCCACTTCGGTGCATATCTTCCCGCTTCCGAAAATTTCACTGAAAACTCTACTTGGTATAGGATAAAGCAGTTATGTACGGTCGGTTTGGATATTGGGTTCATCCCTCGTGAGATATGCACATCTACATTCGGTCCCTCAGGTAGATATGCATATCTCCCTCTGGATAAACCCCATATCCAAAACCTCCCAGTACATAACCCTTATGTATATCAAGGGTGCAAACACAACAAATCAGTCGCGTCGGGCAGAGAATAACCTATGAAAAGAGGCTATGTTTTCAGCCGAGTCCCTCTGCACGGTGGAACATCCGTAAACTTAACATTGCGTTGGACCTCATAGGACTTTGTGGGACTCAATGGCCCAAGTGGGACTTTGCACCATTGGTGTGTGTTGGGCTCAACGCTATGGTCGGAGGTTGTGTATACCACAAAATTGCTGCATTTTATAAGACATCTGGGTCTATTTTTCGTGATTTCATTTACCAGCAAGATATCGCGATCGAAGTATTATTGTATTATTCAATTACTTAATGTAAACCTTGTAATCTAGTAAAGCTCCATTGACAACCATTGAGAGTGTGCGAC